AAAAATAAAACTTTCTTTGACGATTTATAATTTATTAGTTTAGACAAATATTTTTTTCTTGTTTTTTTTTTGTTTGTTTTAAAACCTTATTCGAATTCTGTACGAAAATAACATAAAAAAAATGATTTACCTTTCTGTCTTTTCCATTTTCGAGAAAAGCATATTATTATCATTTTTTTTTTTTTACAAAGGCTAAATTTCAGGGACATGACATGCGATTAAAACGGAAAGACACCGCAGTCTCTTGATTTCAGCCATCTTTCAGTTAGATTAATCTACGGAGACCAGGTGATGGGCACCTAGGGAAACAGAGTTAAGAAAAAAAATCCATTCCTTTATACGACTTTCGGGCCATTTTTACGATCGATTAACAAGATACCTTACTGGGTCAGAAGGGTTTGGCAAAAATATTATAGCCTAACCAGAACATTTGATGTGAAGATTTAGTGGAAAAGTACTGGGTGATGTTGAAGCATTCCAAAAACACATTCTTCGTTGCAACGTTTAGGGAGTGAACCTGGAGAAAGTAATAAGAGGTGAGATATAGACGTGTGAGACTAGGCTGAAGTTTGGTGTGCTAAGAGTGTGAATAATTTCCCAATTAATATATTGATGTTAGGTTCAAATAGTTACAGTGAAACTGTCATTTCAAAGGACACACTATCTCCCTCTATACGAATAAGCTGTTTACTATGATTAATTAATGTTAGCACAACATATATATTATTCAATTTTAAACAGTATTCTGCTTGTATGGTGTTGCGAATTCATGGAAAGCGTTTGTGCTCAAATTCACACGTGAAGGACCACGTCATGCTATACCAGTATGTCAAGTTTTAGCAATCTGCACCTTTCAACTTTAAATTGAATGTGATGAAAAACAAAAAAGGGTCACATATAAGTAAAGAGGATAAGATGTTAATTTAATCATTTCTCTCACAATAGCTGTGGGAATTATAGATAAGACGTTTGGACTCGTTTACATAGAGAACGCGAGCTCCAATTAGAAAAAACAAACATGGAGACTTCTACACTCCTTTATACATTGAATTGCAGAATAGGGATCGTGAAATGTCTTACTCGTAGAAAATTTCATCCTGGATTTTTTAGTTTAAGTTTTGGATTAGAACGTAATATGTTTGACCGTTTATTAAGTTTCTTAAATAATATATTGTGTTCAAACTAGATAGCATTTTAAACTTTAAAAATTTATCATAACTCTGAGAGGAAGCTCTCTAAACAATTCATTGATAGGCCTAAATAAAATGTTTTTAATTGTGTACCAGTTTAACGTTGAAAATTATTTATGATTTTAACTTTATACACAAGTGCCAAAATACTATAATTAGCCATGTTGTTTAATATTTATCAGTTACACACCAACAAAAACTTCCCATTGACCGCGAGGCATCAGTCCGTTTAAACTGCAAAGTTAAACGTTTACATACCAAAAATTCCAATTCCTAATGAATAGAAGTTCTAAAACAAAACAAAAAAAAAAGCTTCCCACAGTTGTTTGGCTAGATTTGATATTTGACGTCTCTTCAAATGGGTCCCATGTAGGGAATTAGCTTCCCTGTTTTTTCGAGGTTATGCAAAAAAGTAAATATGATATTAAAGTTTGAGTTCAATAGGTGGACTTATTACGCCGCAAAAAAGGGCTATACTAATACCAATAAAAACTATAGTTAGAATTGACCAGGGGGCGAGAGTATCTTGCATGTAGTTAAAATTGATTTTGATATTCTTTTATAAGTGATTTAGGAAGATTCTTCATGATTAAAAACAAGGGAAATGGACAGCATCTGCCTAGTTCAGCGTGACACTTGTGGAGAAAGCCTTGGAGGCCTAAACTACAAAAATAGCACACATGGAAAGGAAGACAAAATACTGAAGTCTTTCGAAACGACCCCTTTTTCATCTGTGCTGCTCATATAGATTAGTTATTCAAGACTTTCTCCACAAGTGTCACGTTCAACTAGGCAGATGCTGTCCATTTTCCCTTTGTTTGAGTTTTACTGTTTATTATATCTAAGACGAAAACATATAAAATGTGATTTCTGTATACATAAATCTACTTTGTAAATAATCGCATATTCAGAAATTCTACTACTTATGGATGAAACCAGTTTTTTTTATATGACAAAATTGTGACGTGTCAAGCTCCAGCTCCAATAAAAAACACGAAACAATGAAAAATAAAAGCATCCGTTTGAAATATTATTATTATTATTACGGTACCGCGATCAGTTTCGAGTTAGATAAGCTGTTATTAGCATAACAAGATCGATTATAGGAAATTGTGTCCAAATTAGGTTTATGTGTATTTAAAAGATGGAAACAACTATGTATAGATTTTGCTTATAGATACATTTTTGTGTTTTTTCATAACGGAATTGTTTTTCTTTGAGCCAAAACGACGAATTCTAATAAAAATGTGAACAATGCATTTGTTTGAAAATTCATTGATATTAGTTAAAGATGATCAGACTTTTAACGTTGTGAAGGTGTGAACAATATTAAAAACAAGCAAAAGAACCCGTCCCCAGTGTTGGAAAAAGTTGAAGTTAATCTATCAATTTAAATAATTTCATTAACTTTTAAAAGGTTTATTGTGTTGCACTTTTGGTTTCACTCAGAGCTTTGGCTCTGAGCTGCTTATGCTACCCACCGCGAAAAGTAATTGCTGAGCATTTCAGTCATGCTAAGAGCCGTTCAACAATAACATACGATAAATCTACATTTTAATTCTTTAAGTTACGTTACATTTTGAAATGTGATTGATAGTGTGATTAATTCCTAACAATTTAGTGTAGAACACCCTGCTTACGAAATGAAATTTGGCATCAACAATATTCATGCCTGTTCTCCCGTCATTTCAAAAGTGAATGTTGAGATTTGCCTGCGTGCGCAGCTTTTTAAACGGGAGACAGACGAACGTTCGGACAAGACACCACGGTTCGCATTATATACGAGATAAGACAAGTGTGTTTTAGCTACATAATGAGTTGCATTTTTTAAATACATAAAAAGAGGTGAATTTTGAACTATAAGGCGAGCTCATTTAATTTTTTATTAATTAGCTCGATATTCGTCAACTTTAATCCCACCAGAAAATAACAAGGTTGTTACAACAATATCAGTCTCCTATAGTTTTGAGACTGAACAATAAAGACATGTAAAACCAATTAGTAAAAAGTAAAAACAAATAAGTAAAATATAATTTACTAAATACATAACGAAGCAGAATAACTTAATCTTAGTTAATGTATGGGAGCTTTATTATTTTTTTAATTAAAATATTTATGATGTATTATTAATTTACCGCATTCGATAAATTTTACGTAAATTAGTTGATATTACATCATAATATCACTGATGGTCATTATCATGGCTTGTGCGATCGTATAAACTACTAACCATATATTGATTGATTAGCAATTGTCTCAATTTTACTAGAACACTTAAGACATAATAAACATAATTTCGTCGCACATAATCAGCCTGGCCGAGTACGGCCAGATGGTTAACAGGCCGGACTCTAGATCCGTGGTTCGCATTCCGTTGCCGAAAAAATAATAATAGTAGTAAATCAGGCTCTGTACTTTATGACCGAAGGTGCGTTATAAAAGTGAGGGTCAGATCACAGTATTTCATTGGAGTAGCCGAAAAACTGAAGGTGGGTGGTGTTGGTCATCTTCCTTTCCTCTATTCTATCAGTTGAAAATTAGGGACATATGTCGTTGGTAGCAGATGAGTAGCTCTGGAAGAAGTTCAACAAGCAGCAATAACTTTATCAATCCAATAGGAAAGTTTTCAATAAAGCAAGTAGCACAAGAATAGGTCTGAGTGAAGCTCAACAAACAACAACAACGCAATAGGAAAGTTATGAGTGAACAACTGTATAACAACATACCAACTCTTATTTTATCTGTTGATTAAGCCTTTCACTCATTAGAGCTCAGCAAGATGGTGTAGTAGAAATATAGTAATGAATATGTTTTTGAATTTTGGATATTAATCACAGTTTACTGACAAATTTAATGTATCACATTTCTTTTCCAATAATAACACAAACACGCCTTCCTTACAATAAAGTTTGGACGGATATGGTAGTCAGAAAAGGAAAAAAAAAGGGGAGAGGAGGGAATAACTTGTGATAATGATATTACTTCCAAATACAATTACTCAAAAATATATTTTTTTAAAGTTATCTTGGAGATTTTGACGCTTATTTCTTTATTATAACTAACATTTTACATTCTGGACGTTTTTTGTGGCGATAAGGTCGATTATATTACTGTTTTTTTGTTGTTCGTTTTTTATACAGGAATGTCTAAATGCTACATCGAACGTAGAGGAGATGAAGTTGATAAAAAAGTACTATGTCTAGAAAAGTAAGAACCCGGTTTTTCCATAATGCCAAATAAATGCCACAAAATATTTATCCGAGAGTCTCGCAAACGGTTGTCTCTCTCAGTTTATAAAATTAAGAAATGAGACGTTGGACTTGTTTTCCAGGAGTAGTTACCAGATCTTATGGGTGTTTTTTTTCCTTCCCATGAAAATGACCGATAATGTATATGTTACAAGCTATCAGACGGCTTTACTAATCGCCTCATTATTCTCGGCAGGCGTGCTGCAACTTAGGCTACTATAATGGTCCTTTTAACAACATGAAACTATATGTGAATATAAATGTTTCTATCAGGGTTGAGACATTTCAGTGAAGAATAGTAAAGAAATAAAGATAAATTCCAAGAATAGCTCTTTCTAGGAATTTCTATGAACATAATACTTATGATAAATTTCTCCATGCTCTGTATTATTAAAAAAAACGTACAGTTATCATTTCTTAAATCGATGTTTTAATCATATTGAAATAAGCTGTTCATCACGAGGCATGCCAGATACGCATAATATTCTGCGATGTGCTATTGATATGCAGATTTTAACTATAAAATAAATCTTTATTGAGAAAAATGTTAAAAATAACTTACATCGATATAAACCCCTGGCTGTTCATAACTCTGGGCTTGAGGATGTTCTTTAGGAAGATATCGGTAAATCTCCACACTGTTCTTGTACCACTTCACGGAGTAGAGGTCTTCAGACTCCTGATCAAACGTACAGTTTAACCACACGGGGTCGCCTTTCTGAACAACACTATTCACTTCTATATCTATAAGTCGAAGACTCGAACCTGGAATACGTATTAAGCAATATTTATTTGCTTCTTTTGAATTAAATTATTTTGTAGTTCAACAGTGTTTTATTTAACTTGTTAAGTCGAATTAATTTTCATTCAAATGTTCAATGTATATTTTACATCTTTTCACATATATATGTTAATTACAGTGAGTCAGTAGGGATTATTCTAGATTGAGGAACCACAAAAAGTGACTCTTATCGAAATCAGTACACATGAATAAAATATAGCTGGGAAGCTTGAGGGTCAGTTGTGTTAAATTCACTTTCACTCGTCGTATCTGTCTAGTTCTCATTGTGACAGTTTCAAATACACCAGATTGGAAGGCATCGCGTTCCTTAGGGTGTCTTTACTTTCATTTTACTTGTTTATATGATTACCATGTAAAACTAAACAAATAAAATAAAAGTTATACGCGTACCATGTGACTTTGAAAACTTTGAATCTATAATATTTAATAACATGTTTCAAATAATTGGAAATAAAATATTTGATACATAGTATTAAACATAATCATATCCGTCAGTATTTAATATAAATACTTTAACCTTTACAACTTTACATGACAAAAACCATAACAGAGACAGATATTGAAAAACGGAACTCTGATGTATTACCAATGAATTTGATTTGTTTTCACATCAGCTTTGATACATATTAAACTTCAATCAGAATTTTATCTAATGCTAAAATCTTTTATTTCAAGTTTATTATAGATAAACTTTAGATATTGGAATAGACTTGTTTCAACATTGACTTCTTCGAACAGTATTATTTTTCCAATAATAATATTCAGACCTCAACCTACTTTCAAACATATATAAGCAAGAAGAAAATCTACGTAATCGTTTTTTCATTAAGAAAAATGTCACACATCAATAAAAAAGAATTATCTTTTCATCTGTAAATCTTAGATTAATATTGCAGTGAATGTTATATAATATAAACCATTTACTGTCAATTCCTTGTAATCATATTTATCAACCATCGGGAAAAGTAACATACGATAAAAAAGACCATCAAGTAAAGTCCTGAGGATTATGTTCTATAAATCATGGGCTTTCAAACATCTGCAGATGATCACCTGGGTTCAGTAAGATAAATTATCCATCCTAATACACCAATCGGATTGCATTTAACATATTCTTTATAGGCGAAAAATTAATCAAAATAAATCAGTTGTACTGCAATAAAAACATTTAACCATGTGCATAAAGTTAATAGTTACTTTTTATTAATGATTAACACGTGTTTTATTTTTATCTCCTATTTCAGTGTCCTCGCATGTTAGGCCTAGTGGCCTCCACCTCGACTTATTTATCCCTCTTTAAAAACCATTCTTCAAATGAAACTTATTAGTGCCCCACTTTAAAAAAAAAGAAAGTTTCGTAGCTTGACAGTTCATGGTCCATTAAAACTAGTTAAATTCTCAATGAAATAAAATTTATTATTATTGGTGAGCTAATTAGAATAATAATATCAGATAATAAATATGCCTTTATTATTGGGACAAAACAGCAGTGGAATCATCAAATAGTTTTTTTAACTATGAAAATGTCGTTTAGAGCATTGAGGATTCTAATGTAAATTTACAGTAGAGATATTAGGGAGTTATCTAAAGGTTATATTTGACGATAGCTGTACTAATTGTTTATAAAGGTAAAAACTTTACTTTTGAAAACATGTTGTACTTTACAACATGTCCGCGTATTTTACAAATTAGCAAACCATTAAATCTTAAATCATAATGTGGGAAGTTAAATCTTTACAAAGTACTCAAGGTCTTAAAGTTAAACTTTTACAAAGTATTCAAGGTCTTAAAGTTAAACGTTTACAAAGTACTCAAGGTCTTAAAGTTAAACTTTTACAAAGTATTGAAGGTCTTAAAGTTAAACGTTTACAAAGTACTCAAGGTCTTAAAGTTAAACCTTTACAAAGTATTCAAGGTCTTAAAGTTAAACCTTTACAAAGTACTCACGGTCTTAAAGTTAAACCTTTACAAAGTACTCAACGGTCTTAAAGTTAAACCTTTACAAAGTACTCACGGTCTTAAAGTTAAACCTTTACAAAGTATTCACGGTCTTAAAGTTAAACCTTTACAAAGTACTCACGGTCTTAAAGTTAAACCTTTACAAAGTATTCAAGGTCTTAAAGTTCAACCTTTACAAAGTACTCAAGGTCTTAAAGTTAAACCTTTACAAAGTACTCACGGTCTTAAAGTTAAACCTTTACAAAGTACTCAAGGTCTTAAAGTTAAACCTTTACAAAGTACTCAAGGTCTTAAAGTTAAACCTTTACAAAGTACTCACGGTCTTAAAGTTAAACCTTTACAAAGTACTCACGGTCTTAAAGTTAAACCTTTACAAAGTATCACGGTCTTAAAGTTAAACCTTTACAAAGTATTCACGGTCTTAAAGGTAAACCTTTACAAAGTACTCACGGTCTTAAAGTTAAACCTTTACAAAGTACTCACGGTTTCCATGTCTTAAAACTTATTGCGAAAACAAATATGATAAAAGGTAAAGGGACTTTAAAAATCATTTTATATTTTTACTGTTTCACAAATTTTTGCTATAAAATATTTCGTTATTTGCTGGTAGTTAAACACAAAGGTACACAATGGGCTATCTGTGCTGTGCCCAATACGGGTATCGAAACGCAGTTCCTAACGTTATAGGTCCGCAGTCTTGCCGCTGTGCCACTGGGGACACTATAGATTATATATAATGTTATCTAAGTGCAGTCAACCACCAAATTAAATTTAACTTATTTTAACTTCTTGTAAATCTGCGATTAATGGAACATTAAGAACGTTTTATGAGCGCAAGAAGAACACGATAAAAAAAAAACACTAGTTAAAGCAACTTTTACTCAGCGTGATTAATAGCAACAAATATTGTCTTTGATTGTTTGCATATTATGTCTGTGATGCTGTCAGTCAAGTGTATGTAAAATAAAGTTTCTATAAACTTATGGACTTTGAAGTAGAGCGTATACTTTCCATATCTGTATAGTTTCAACGTGATCCATATTTGGTTTTGAGTAGGAGGTCTGTTTGAGGTATGTAAGACGCAACTGCATAAGCAAATGTAATGTAAGACGTATAAAAAAACGTCAAGAACCTTTTCATCTTCACTGTAATATAATGTTTAATGTTTTGGTAATTTCTCACCTCTGATGTTTTCAAAGAAAACTTCACTTGAACAAATAATGACCTCATCACCAATGACTTGAACTTTCGTTATAGATCACGGTTTGGTAAAACCCCTACACGCCGCTACACATAAATCTCCACTTCTTCTGTTCATTACAATGGCATTGACGAATTCACTGTGTAGATTAGGGGGTTCGGATTCGATCAGGAGAAACGGTCCATGCGACATCAACCAATACCTCACGTGTTTGTAAAAATATCCGCCGTGAAGTCTCTTAGAATACAAGTGTGAAGTAGTAGATCGTTGTAACAGTCAAATAAAACCGTTGTATTGGCCCTAGTGGGTGAGAATCTATACGATGTCTTTTTGGGTATATTATTCATATTGATTATATTGTCCCACATTTTCATTTAATTGCAAATTGTAGAATTACTTTGTTTCAACTTGAGCTATAAAACACAACTTTCAGACTCATTTAGGGAGTGAAATATTTGTATTCTTAAAATGAAAGATTAAAAGTATTTCGTGACGTATTGATCCCGTATAAAAAAATGTAAGAAGGTACAAAATTTACTTACACGTAGATCTTGCTACAAGTACATTGTTTGCATATTTTATCTACGTATTCTTAATAATATTTAAATGTTTTTAAATTATAGGCGTCATGAAATGAAGCAACAACCATCCCCTGGCTTTCTGTAAAGTGATTTAATCAAGTAAGCTTTTAGTTAGTAGCAGTGTTACTAAATGATCAACAACAATTTAAAAGGTATTACTTTTATTTGACGAAATAAAGTTACTGTCATCAGATTATTTGAGCCATAATGTTTGGATCATTAAAAATAATATTCCGATTTTGGAATGTTTAATTAACTTAAATTATTTAAAAAACAGCCAACTCTGTACTACTTATGAGTTCACTACGTTATATATTAAAATAGGTCTGAAAGCTTAATCGGGTTTTTAATGATCTACTTGATAAACGTTTAAATAAAGAAATACTTATTACAAAATTTAAATTTACTAAGCATCAATGTAAAATTACACTTAATTTTTTTGATATATGACAGTTATATTATTCTCAATGAAGATGTATTCAAGCAAACAGTGGGTAGTCCGATGGATACTAATTTCTCTTCAAACATAGTCAGCTTGTATCTGTTCTTCTTTGGGACCGGCATGGACAGGTGGTTAGGGCTCTCGTCTCGCAATCAGAAGGTTGCAGGTTCGAATCCCCGTCCCACTCAAGCATGCTAGCCCTTTCAGCCATGGAGGCGTTATAATGTGACAGTCAATCCCACTGTTCGTTAATAAAAGAGTAGCCCAAAAGTTGGCGGTGAGTGATGATGACTAGGTGCCTTCTCTATAATTTTACACTGCTAAATTAGGGGCGGCTAACGCAGATAGCCCTCGTGTAACTTTGCGCGAAATTCAAAACAAACTGTTCTTCTATGAAAATAATTTTTTGAAACAGGTTTAAAACTGTAATATACATAATTATAGTATTTTGGCACTTCAGGATGACGTTGTAACGTCGAAACATGTAGAGTCGTCAACTTTTTGAAGGCCAATGGTAGTGTTCTAATTGAAAACTGGCATATTCTACGAGTTTTAATCTAGATCTCTGTGTTGATAACTTCAAACAATCTGATGTGATCAGTAAGAGAAGAACAGGCCTTTTAGTATATTCCAAGAAAGTAATTTCTACGATTTTGAATAACGTGGCAAATGGAAAAAAATGGAAATATTATGACAGCTCATAAGTCTAGATGAGAAATCTGATCCAAGTGGCCGAGTTTGTGGTAAATAGTTAATTGGATAAAACCCAAGAACCCATCA